AATATTGTAATTAATATATTAAAATTTCTTCTTTAATATTTAAATAAAAGATTTTGCTGGAGCATCGCAAATAATGGCCTTAACATTAACTTTAATATTACAGTTTAACAGGTCTGAATGATATCCTCTCTGTGCTAATGGTATTAATTCTTTCACAAATTGTTGTAAGAATTCATTGGCATTCTTTGGTTTCTTTTGGCCATAAAACAGCCCGACTATGTGCACTTGATTTGAAATATCATCTGATAATAATATTGACCAGAAATTACTTGATGATGATCTGGATAATGCAGACCGTCTATGTTAATTAATAAATTAATTTCAGATACCTTCAAAAACATATTTTTATAGTGTAACAGAAATACTTCCAAAATATTCGATAGCTCAAAATGGTAATACGATCCTCCAGATAATGCAATTATTCCAAGAGTTTTCTTAGGTGTTTTTAAAAGCGCTCTTGCGTCTTTTGGCAAAGTTTTGAATTGTGAATGTGGAGACTGCCTCAGAATTTTCATAAGAGCATTAATTGCATTATGCCTAATTTTAAATTCAAAAGACTAATTTCAAAGATCGCGCAATAATTCATTATCCATATTTTTATCTTCATCAATATATTCCACATCCACATCGTCTGCATCATTACTTGAATCATTAGAGTCAAATGATAATGGTTGCATTCCTTCTTGTTCTTCAATATCAACAAAATTTTTGTCGCCTGTGATCTCTTCTGAATTATGTACTTCATAAATTATTTTCGACATAATTTATAAATTATTTGCGACATAAATTATTTTCATTTTGACATTCAATTCGACATTCTTCAGCCGATATCCCTGGTCTAAAATAAGTCGCATTATTGCTTAATTCTAGCAACAAATAATCTTTTTCTGTTTTTTCTTGTGCCAATCGTCTCTTATGCCTCGAAGAAATATGACAGTTTTTATCGTCCGTAGTATAAAAATTATTTATTATAATGTAGCCTATAAAAATAATCAAATACATATTAATTGTATAGCAATTACATACAATCGTATAGAAATTCAAATCTATTACAAAATAAGAATTATAATGAGCGTCAGGTATGGTTACCATTGTCAACTTCTTAATAAAATTAATCTACAGTTTAAAAAAAAATACTCCGTCATTACCATGCTCCAATCCAGTTTTATAACTTATAAACTCACTGAACACAAGTACATTCTTTGGTTACTATTTCCAGAGAAATCACAATGCAATTCTCTACCACACCTGACCAATGCACATTTCATGTAAGAAAAACTGTACAATTTACAAGTTTGACAACAACCAATCAGTTAAGATCATAAGCAATTTAGACGATCACACGACGACCGACCCATAAGATTACTAATCAGAATATAATAACGACATGTATCTAATTTAACGTTCGCACTCAGGATGACCTAAGTTAAAGGTCGAAACATCTGCGGTATCATTTGTATTGTTTTAGAAAAGAATATATTTTGTTGATGTAACAATAAGCACTGTCAACCACTTGATCTTATCCGTTCGAATTTTTAATACTGGTATGGTTAATCACCAGAGCTCGATAAATTATCGATATACAAAATAAGAAAGTAAGAAGATAAGAACTTATCTTTAACTCACTGTTTAATTTAAATAGTCATTTAAATAGTCATTTAAATAGTCCTAGAGTCAGATCCGCGAATACAGAAACATGCTGAAAACGATTTATAATTTTTTAAGATTAGTAGCGCTATCATCTTATAATATATTATTACATTCTATTAAATATGTATCAACTATGTACTTGATACATAGATTTGATTCATATTTATATAATATGCGCAATATATCTGCTATGTATCACATACATATTTCGACTTAGATATTTCATACCTATTGCGTTAATTAGGTATTTAATACATTAAATTTGAAATGAAATGAAACGCAATGTAAATGTAATATTATTACGTATTTAATATGTATTTGCAATGAAAGGTGCTGTGCGGATATATTCTTTCAATATTTAATAATTTACAAATTATAATTAGTGCTTCATTAAATAATTCTTAAATAAAGTATTTACTTACTAACATTATTCAGTATTACTCGCGAATATGAAATAACAATATTAACGCAAATGTAATATTTATTTATAAAGATAATTAATTACTTATTATACTTATTGTTAAAAGGTTAAATATGCATAATAGGTTCTGACTTCCAGAGATAAATTCCAAATTTTAATTTGCATATAAATTAGAACAGAAAAGGCAATTAAAAATGATTTCAGTGATATACATTCTCTGGTAATTTTTCCCTAATATATTGAATTTGTATGCATACTTAACAAGATCAGATTTATACATTTGCTGTTGCTACTTAATAAAGGTTGCTACTTAATCAATTAATTTAAATTGAAAATTCCGATTATGATTTATTTCGCAGTAATCGCTAGATAATTCTTCATATTGAAAAATAAAAGCTATTTTAAAATTTAAGCTGTAAAAATATGGTAAAAAATTTTTCATATAAAGATTTATATGGAGATATATTCTTGCATGGATAAAAAATAAATAATTCTGAGAAAGGCATGTTAATAATATAATAATAAAATATAAAAATATTTGGAACATATCGGAATATTTGATATCTTATTATTCAATTTTGGACTTTGTATTATCTGGGAATTAATTATTGTAAGTTACAATGATATTAGATTAATAATCGGTATACAGGGTGTAACAAAAAGATTGGGATACTAGAATATTTTTACATAATATACATAAATACATATAAATAAATATATATATATATATATATATATATAATATAATAAATATA